GCACAGTGGTCCATGCTATCTCTAGAAAATTGTTTTAAATTTTTCTCAATTTGGAACAAAGTTTACCTTTGGGAAATCCTTGGGGATTTCATCCAGGCTTTTCATTCTGTTCTCTAGGACCACATGGATCAAGTTCGTTCCATCTTCTTTAAGACTACCCTTTAATATAGAGAGAAACCTATTGTGGCTGATTACTCTGGAACACATTTGTAGACCTATGCCTTGTATAATGCCTGACTTCAAAATCCCTTTGTGTTGCCTAGTCTCTTTCATTTGTGGGGGGCTGAGTATGGACTAGAGATTCAGTTCGATCCTTGGATGGGTTAATATCACAGTTCTCTCTTGCAGGCTGGTCTGGGAAGTCCTTTCTTTCCTTTTACTCAAATGTGACCTTTTCAAAAAAGGCTCTATTTATGTAAAAGAATACTATGGCTCAATATTGATATTCATTTCTTCTTTAGAGTTGTCCTTTCTATAATCTTCTTCAGGGGCACCTATATCTATATGCCATTCTGGCCTTTTAGGGGCACCTATAGCTATGCCCACTTCTTGCCATCCCCTCTATGAGGAGCTAGAGAACGTTATACTCTTGAGTGGAGAATATAGGGGTGAATCTTACCAGGTGGCTCTTGTCCCTGATTCTATGTGCTCATATAATTGTATTGGTGGAAGTAAACACAATCAGTGAAACCCACAGAGTGAATTGATGCTACTGAAGAGCCAAAGGAAGACAGACTGTTTGGATGCAGTGAGCACCAGGTTTTCTTTATGTTCATTTTAAAAGTTGCTATTTTTTTGGAAATGGTAATACATTTATGTGGTTCAAAACTCTAAACAATGTTAACAGATATAAACGGAAAATCTGGCTCCCACCCCTGTCTCTCTTCACTCTGTTTTCCCTTTCTCACTGTGTTTGTCCTTTTACTGTTTATTTTTAAAATAACAAGCAAATATAAATGCATATACTTATTTCTCCCCCCCCCCCCTTTTTACACAGTGGGTAATTATAGCAGAAACCAGTAATGCTCACCAATATTCATGCTCCCCTCTATCTAGGAAAGACTTTGTGTGTATTTGCATAAGAAACTGACAAGAAGGAAATAGGTTCTAAACCTACCAAATTTTCTGGTGCATTGTCACATCAAAGAAACCATGGCCCAGGACTGAAAATGCTTTTATGTTTTCTTCAGTTCTTCATATTTGCCCCAGCAAGAAGTTGGCTGTAAAATTTGGACTGCTGCAAAAAAGCACATTCACTTTAGATATGGCCACAGAGGATATGGATAAGGAAGAACTTCCCAAGGAGGACGTCAGTGGTCATAGCAACAAATGGACAGGAGAGCTCCTCCCAAGGGCATCATCAATATCCAGTCAACTAATCTTCTGTATTCCCATTTTAAAAGGCCTTAAATGGGGCGCCTGGGTGGCGCAGTCGGTTAAGCGTCCGACTTCAGCCAGGTCACGATCTCGCGGTCCCTGAGTTCGAGCCCCGCGTCAGGTTCTGGGCTGATGGCTCAGAGCCTGGAGCCTGTTTCCAATTCTGTGTCTCCCTCTCTCTCTGCCCCTCCCCCATTCATGCTCTGTCTCTCTCTGTCCCAAAAATAAATAAACGTTGAGAAAAAAAATTAAAAAAAATAAAATAAAAGGCCTTCAAAATGCCTTCCCAGGGGGATTTAGGAATTGCTATGGATTAATCACTTCTGTGTGTCGTCCATTCTTCCCCTTTCTGAACGACTATTTCTATTTTGGCTATCCTTCTTATTATATAATTATATATTCCATGTAGCTTCCAGGTCATTGGACCAATTGGACCATAAGGAAATATATCCAGATCAGACAGAAAGGACAGATTCAGCATGCTGGACTTTCAGTTTGGTGAAGTTACTAGATGGATATATATATATATATACACACACATACACACATATATATATGTGTGTATATATGTATATATACACACATATATATGTATATGTATATATGTATATATACACATATATATGTATATGTATATATATGTATGTACACACACATACACACATATATATATACACCACATTTTCTCACATTTTCTTTATCCATTCGTCAGTTACTGGACATTTGAGTTCTTTCCATAATTTGGCTATTATTGATAGTGCTGCTATAAACATTGGGGCCCATGTAACCCTTCAAATCAGCATTTTGGATCCTTTGGATAAATACCTAGTAGTGCAATTGCTGGGTCGTAGGGTAACTCTATTTTTAATTTTTTGAGGAACCTCCATACCGTTTTCCAGAGTGACTGCACCAGTTTGCATTCCCACCAACAGTGCAAAAGTGTCTCCCTTTCTCCTCATCCTTGCAAACATCTGTTGTTTCCTTAGTTGTTAATTTTAGCCATTCTGACCGTTGTAAGGTGGTATTGCATTGTAGCTTTGCTTTGTATTTCCCTATTGATGAGTGATGTTGAGCATCTTTTCGTGTGTCTGTCAGCCACCTGGATGTCTTCATTGGAAAATTGTCTATTCATGTCTTTTGCCCATTTCTTCACTGGATTATTTTGTGTGTGTGTGTGTGTGTGTGTGTGTGTGTGTGTGTGTGTTGAGTTTGATAAGCTCTTTATAGATTTTGGATACTAACCCTTTATCTGATATGTCAATTGCATATATCTTCTCTTATTCCATCGGTTGTGTTTTAGTTTTGTTAAGTGTTTCCTTCACTGTGCATAAGCTTTTTTTATTTTGATTAATTATCAATAGTTCATTTTGCTTTTGTTTCCCTTGTCTCTGGAGAAGGCAAGTAAGAAGTTGCTGCAGCTGAGGTAAAAGAGGTTGTTGCCTGTTTTCTTCTCTAGGATTTTGACGGTCTCCTGTCTTACATTTAGGTCTTTCATCCATTTTGAATTTAGTTTTGTGTATGGTGTATAAAAGTGGTCCTGACTGAGTTTTGACTGATGAAAGAAGAACCGAAGTGATGTGTCCCTTAAAAACTTTCCTCATGTGATTCTATTCCTCATGTGATTCTTACTCTCTTGGCACTCGTCCTCTCGCTGAATAGTGCGGATCCTAAGGACTTAGAGCAGGGAGGAGTCACAGGAGAGCAAGGACGCCTGAATGACATCCTGGAGCAGAACTCTTAAGGAACTTGCTCTTCAGACCTCACCTCTTTTTGAGCCAGCTGGTAAAGTCTCTTCCTCTTCTTCCAGCCATTACCTCCTCAAATGCCTGACCAGGTGCCAGTACTCAGTACAAGTCCATGTACCAGTAGAAGTCTGGAGCTGGGAATTTGCCCTTGGAAGATTTCCCTGCCTATATTGGCTCATACTGATCTCTCTCTCTCTCTCTCTTTCTCTCTCTTGAGTTTTAGGCCAACACCCCAGAGCATACTTTACAGAGTCCATTTCAGAATCGTACATCTGTTCTTACTCATCAGATCGTAAACTGCTTGAACTCATAGATCACATCTTTTGCTTCTGTCACCACCTCAGTGCCCAGTAAAGTGCCTGATACATAGTGGGGATTCAGTATGTCTTAATCGATTTGCTGATTTCCCAGTGGAGCAAATGAGAGATGATTGGGGTGCTTGAAGGAGATATTTCTGAACTTTTGACCCTCTCCAGGGCTCTCCAGGAGTGTTTGTCATATCTTCCAAGAAAAATTCTAAGTCGAGAGAAAATTATCATTTTTACTGATGATTCAGCCAAAGCTGAACATCTACTAATCCAGAAAATACTGCTGACAGCTTTTCTTTTGTTGACGTTTAGGCATTAATGATTCTATAAGAAAGAGAAGTCAGCTGGAGGTTATGTTCCCTTACTTTAGGTTGTTGAGTAAAGTGTTTCTGGGCATGTACACTTGGCTAAGGAGATTCTTTGAATTGAGAAGGAAATTTCTTTTATATATTGTCTTTTTAAAAAGGAGTCATCCAATTTTCCTCTGCTTTGGGGGATATTTTCATTACTTTTAAAAGGAAGGAGCTTATAAATACAGGTCTATATAACCAAATCATTAGTAAACTAATTTTTTTAACATTTATTTATTTTGAGAGACAGAGAGAGACAAAGCATGAGCAGGAGAGGGGAAGAGAGAGAGGGAAACACAGAACCAGAAGCAGGCTCCCGGCTCCGAGCTGTCAGCACAGAGCCCGATGCGGGGCTCGAACCCACAAACCGTGAGTGAGATCGTGACCTGAGCTGAAGTTGGATGCTTAACTGACTGAGCCACGCGGGCGCCCCGTTAGTAAATTCATTCATTCAGTTCACTCAGTATTAATTAAGCACCTATCAAATAAAGGCACTGTGCTAAAACAATGAAGCATGCAACAGTGAATGGAAGTGGATGGAACATGTGCAAAATGGGAAGAATCCTGGATAAGCAGTAGTCTTAATAGTAGTAGTTTTAATAATAATGGCATTAGTAGTGGTTGTAATGGTAGCTGCCAGTATTTACACTAATTAATACCAGAAATTTTAATCAAATTATCTCTAATTCTCAGCACAAACCCTAAAGGTGAATATATACTGGTGTCCATATTTTTGTAGTGTAAGAAACAAAACTTCAAGGCGTTGACTGACTTACTCAAGATTACAAAACTACCAACTGATTTTTTTCGTTTTACAAATATTTATGTTTATAATCAGCCAACTGGATTCGATTACGATGATCCCAACTTTGTTGGCAATATGCAAAGCATCATAGGAGCAAGTCAAATCTATGCCTTTTTCTTTCCTGCCCACCTCATCAGGAAGGGTGTGGATGTTGGTCACCGTCAATGCCATAGAGTTTCTTCACAGGCTGTTTAATCTGGTGCTCTTTGGCCTTAACCTCCACAATGAATATAAAAGTGTGTTGTGTTTTTTTTTTTTTTTTTATTTTCATAGCCACTACTAAATGAATTTGAATGCAGCTCTCTGATTCCATATGCAGTTTCCCCACCTGCATTAAACATGCCTTCTTGCCATCACAAGATCTGGATTCAAGTGTAGACTGCCTCTTAATGCTCAGTAATTTTGTTGAGTCTAAGTGTTCTCATCTCGACATCCAGGTGGTGATCATCATGGTTCCACTCGTCTCCCAGGAGAATGACGAAGTCCTAGTGGATGTGAAAGTGGCCGTGAACTGCAGTGCAACCTGTGCATGCAAATAATAATACTAATTAGTAGTAGTATTCATTACAGTAACTATCATTCAGTTGCTTATGGTCTAGAACGGGAAATAGAATGCGCAAAGTAATTGTGCGGAAGGGGACAAGTAATGCAATCAATATACGCACAGAGAAGGAGCTGGAGGTATCCAGAGGGAGGTACCGAACATCTGTGGGTATGGGCTCTTGGGGACCACCGTGGCCTCTGCCCTGAAAAAGCAGCTCTATTCAACAGCAGGAGTAGGCAGAGGAGAACTATTCTGCAGGAAGTCTTTCCTTCAGGCAGGCAAATACACTCCAACAGTTACAATGGAGTGCTGAAGGCCACTGGCATCAGAGTCACTGTAGCCCCCGTTTGAAAAATGTAGTAATTGCTTTATATGTCCTAGAGACTCTAAATTGAAGGTCTGCAAACTGTAGCTTGAGGGCCGGGCACCTATTCTCACAAATATAGTTTTATTGGAATATGGCCATGTCCATTACTTACATATTTTCCGTCTTTCTTGCTACAACAGCACAGTTGAGTACAGAGACTGTATGACTTAAAAAGTCTAAAATATTCACTATCTGGCTCTTTAGGAAAATGTTTAAAGAATTTTGCTGTAAACAGATAGCAGCTACTAGTTAAATAAACAACTCATTATTCTAAGTACATACCTGCACATATGTGAGTAGGGAGAGGGGGCAGGGAGGGGAAGCTGAGGTGAGCAATGAGGGGACCATCTACTTCTTTGTTCACTGTCCATGGGACCTAGACCGTTGGCCATTAGTCACTAGGAGAGGCAGCACACTGTGATGAGTGGTTTTGCAAGCTTGGCTGCATATTAGAATCACCCGGGGATCTTTTAAAGCTCTGGATACGCAGGCCATCAGACCAATTAAATCAGAATCTCTTGGGGTGTGACTGGACATCAGTAATTATTAAAGCTGTATAGGCGATTTCAGTGTGCAGCCAAGGTTGAGAATCATTAATGTAGTGGAAATAACGCTGGCCTGGGTTTCTGAAATATAGTTCTAACCCAAGCTCTGGCACTATTTTATTTTAACTAATTAGTGGAATGTCTCAATGAGAAATTAATTAGTTTGATATGCTTTCTTCCTTCTAAAGCAAGTACTTTTACTGCCTTTTTTGGGGTAGGAGGATGCCTGGGAAGCTCTAAAGTAATGGCACTCTTATTTTGGGTTTTCTCTTTCCAGTCAGAGATTGTTCCCATGTACAATGGATTGAAGAGTTTATGGACTCTGGGAGTCATCAAATGGGCATGGAAAAGGGAACAGTCATAGGGCAAATCCATTTCAAACTTAAGATGTGTCAAGTAAAACAAAACAAAACAAAACAAAAAAAAAACCCCAAATCTCTATTTGAAGAGCTCTTCTACTGAAGAGGCATAGGCATAGGTATCTAAATACTTTCTTTTCTCTTTTTTTTTTTTAATTTTTTTAATGTTTGTTTATTTTTGAGACAGAGAGAGACAGAGCATGAATGGGGGAGGATCAGAGAGAGAGGGAGACACAGAATTGGAAGCAGGCTCCAGGCTCTGAGCCATCAGCCCAGAGCCCATCGTGGGGCTCGAACTCAAGGACATGAGATCTGACTTGAGCTGAAGTCAGACGCTTAGCCGACTGAGCCACCCAGGTGCCCTTTTCTCTTTCTAAGACCTCTTTACTCTTTCACATTAAGAGTGAATGGATCAACCAAGGTGGTTAAGAGAGAGGTATGAGAATAAACCAGGGTTTAACAATTTGGCACAGTGCTGTGGCTGTCCATTTGCAACCACAGGACTAATTATTTACTCCAGTATAAAGTAGGGTTACTGAATCAGTGACCACATTTTGGTTAGTGACTGGAAGGCTGGTCTAGCCCCACCCACACTTTCATGGACCGCTGGGTAGCTGCAGGGTCAGAGAGTCCACATTTTGGAAGTGTTTTTTGAAGGTGTGATCGAAATTCAAAAATGTTAATTAGAGTTGTAGGGCACTTAACCCTATTAACTCATTAGCTCACATTAATGTGGTTAATTTATTTGACTGACCTGAGGGAAAGGACATTGGTCTAGTGAATGTAAATGATGACCAAGGAGCAGGGCAAAAATGGTGCTAATTTGAGAAAGTAGATCTATTGAGACCTTATAAGGAGAGACCCGGGAGACTGGATAGAGATTCTGCTCTATCCAGAGTAGAATTTCTTTATTTTTTTCCCCCTTGATTCTAAAAGTAATATTTAATCACCAGAGAAAAATTGCAAATGCAGCAAAGCATTAAAAAAACAAACAAACAAACACTAAACTAAAATCGCCTTGTAATCTTTTCTCCTAAATCCCAACACTTTCTGATCTGTTGTTTCTGATCATTCATTAATGCAAAGTCCTGTGACAACAGGAATCAATTTAATATTTATTTCTAATATTTACCCATAGTGTTGTCCTATGACTCTCAGATGATCATTGCCCAAGCACAAGAATTCTCAACTGGTTTGCTGATGTGCCTTTTCAGGGATGCAGATGAAATGTGGACAGTGTGTTAAAACTAAGTTGTGGTGTGACTGGTTGTACACAACCTGATGGTTGACGTCTTTCCTGAAATAAGAGTATGGACAGGGAGTAACGTCCTGACTGTGGGAGGGAAGAGACATGGCACAATCAAGCCTGTGTTTGCTTTCTGGAGTGTTCTCTAGAATGTGAAGGAATGTTGTCTTTCAAATATTTAAGAAAGCACTGTCAGATCAGTCAACATATCTACAATAAAAATAATTACATTATTGTGTAATGACCCCCCCACAAGTGCAATAACCATGAGTGATATTTAATCATTGGGAATCACTGTTCTTCCTCAGAAGTGACTGCATTCTCATTACTAGTGACTTTTTCAGAGAGTTTACATACCCAGATTTTTAGTCCCATATTAGCACATTATTGAATTTAAAGGACTCAAAACCAGTCATTGAACACAATATTGAGACTCCCTATCCTAAGGAACGAGGGAGAGTATTAGTCTGCTATACATAACTCTACAGGCTGGGTGGCGTAAGCAGTAGAAATTTATTTTCTTATAATTCTGGAAGTTGAAAATCTAAGATCAAAACACCAACAGAATTGGCCTCTGGTGAGGCCTCTCTTCCTGGCTTGCAAATAGCTGCCTTCTAGCTGTGTCCTCATATGACTTTTCCTCTATATGTGTATCCCTGAGGTCTCTTCTCTAAGGACATCAGTCACATTGAATTAAGACACACCCATATGATTTCATTTAACTTTCATTATGTTCAAAAAGTCCTTATCTTCACATATAGTCATGCTGGGGGTTGGGGCTTCAAAATACGGGTTTTGGAGGGACATAATTCAGTCCATACCAGAGTATGTGATTTTTGCATATTGGAGGACGAGGTGAGGTTTATATTAGCCTTGCTATTGGGAGGGTTTTTGATGGACTGTGGACAGGGCCATAGATACAGGATAATCAAATCATGTTTTTGGAATAGGAAGAGAGGGTTTAAGTTTAGCTGGAACACAAGATTTGCGGAGAAAGAAATTTAGGACATAGGTTGAAAAAGGAAGGTTGGGGCCAAGTTGTGGAGCCCTGGAGTACCAGGCTGAGGATCTGTCACTGGGTTTCGAAGGGCAGCTAGGGGCCACTGAAGTATTTTGAGCTGGGGGATGACATGGGTCAAAGCTGCATTATAAGCAGATCATGCTGGTGAAGAACGGGTTGGAAGGTGGGGCGTACAAGATGGGGAGTAAGGAAGCCAGTTTGAAGGCCGCCGAAATAGCTTAAGGACATTTCAGAGGCAGCTTGGTGTGGTATGGTTGGTAAGAGCATTGACTCCAAAGCCAGGTTGTCTTGTCTCACACCTGATTTATGCCTCTTACATAACCGAATTACTTTCGGCAAATGACTTTGCTTCTCTAAGCTTTTGTTTCTTTGTAAGTGAGATGTGGCTGATGGAAGTGTTAGGAATTTTACACAAGTCAATAGATGTAAGGTGTTTAGAATAGAGTACGTGGCATACAATTCTGTTTAACTGTTTGCTTATATAGTGAAGGTGGGAAAACACTAGACCAAAATCCCAAACCACTTTCTTTTTTCCTTGCCCAACTTTGAAATAAGTTTCTTGCTTAATGACTACTATAATTTTCCCTACATTGGTATCTCAGGCCTACTTTTGTCATCAACAAGATTTTCGCCTAGCCTACCCCGATCTGCCTCCACTGATCCTGCCAAAAGAAATCCAAGATATACCCAACCAGGATTCAGAATGCATACAAGCAACCAATAAATCTTTTGAATCTAAAGGATACAGCTGTTCTAAAAGTTTACATCTGGATTAAGTAAGGTATGTAAATAGAAAGTCCGAACTATGCTAAAAATCTCATCTTTCTGCATTCATTTGAACAACCAGACTATAATGAACCAAATCACTTTAAGCTCTGCCTAGGAATATAAACACAAGCATAGTGCACTCAGGACAAGCCCACAAGGGCAACGTCCTGTGATTAAAAATATTGTCAGGTCGAAGTTCCTCACTGGGTTCTTGAAGGCATACAGAATGGCGGTTTTTATAACTAATGCAATATTCCATGCTGCTAGTGGATGGTACTTGGACTCACTTTAAGTTAGTCTGTGTTTAGGATGAATTATGTAAAATCCCCAAATCATCTGTTTTGTAAACATAAGAAAGGAAGTGATTCCAATGAATGGGAAAAGTTGTTCCAAATTGGGAAAATGGAAAATCAGGGCCAGATGGAAGTGTGTGAGAGGCTTGAAAGCTCTAGCATTGCAAACAGTGCACTTACATCCTCTCTCGTGCACTGAAGTGAAAGGAAACCTTATTTATGATTCCTGGGAACTGAGCTAAGGGCCATATATGTGTTGTTCACTCATTGTTTTCATTATATCAGCGGAGTTTTTATTATTAAGAACTTACTCTGTGCCAGGTTCTGGGTTTCTCAGGAAACCCATATTCCAGTAGTTTATAGGAGGATTACAGCTAGAA